GAAAAAGAGGAAGACCCCCAGTGAGATGGATTGGCCAAATGTCAGCAACAATTATGAGGTTAGCCTCGGACCGGGCAGTGTTTCATTCTGTTGTGCACAGGGTTGCTATGAGTTGGTATTGACTCACTGGCACTTAACAACAACAAATTATATATATATAGTAAATATATGTTGTTGCTGTTATTGTCAAGTGCTGTTGAGTGGGTTCTGACTCACAGTGACCCTGTACAGGGTTTCTGAGGAGTGGCTGGTGGGTTTGAACAGCCAACTGTGCAGTTAGTAGTCTCAAGTAAATGAGAGGGGGAAAAAAACAAAATTTAAGAAAAAAAATGCTTTGTTTATCATAAATGTAACCACAGGAAAAAAAGACTTCAACTGGAGGAGGAAATAAAGTTTGAAGGGGACTTCGGAGCACATTAAGGGCCAGTGAATATCTAACTTCACTTCAATGTTCAGGATTTGCTTGATACCGCTTTCATTATTTATGCTAACCAATCATGCTGCAGCGCTGTGGGACAAAGCAGTGAACCACAAGGTCGGCAGTTCAAACTCACCAGTCGCTTCTTGGAAACCTTATACAGGGTTGCTATGGGTTGAAACCGACACAACGGCACTTAACAACAACAGCAACAATCACAATTACGGTTGTTTTTTGAGTTATAAATGGAATTGGGAGATGCAGAAAAGGCCAGGAGATTTTTCTGAGGTACCTGGATGAGCTGGAAGAAAGAGAAAAGATGAAGATACTTGGGAGGACTTTTTACTCCCAAAAGGAAATGCCTAAGGTCTAATTAAAACAGCTACATGTGAGGAAATGAGAAGAAAGAAACTGGAGAGGGGGCATGTTGTAGAAAAAATTCCCTTCAAGTAAGAACAAGAAGAGTGGTAAGGAAGACAGTATATCAGTTTAGGGATTTCTCACATTGTCGATGGTTGATGTTAGGTGCCATTGAGTCGGTACCGACGTAGCGATCTTACACACAACAGAACGAAATACTGCCTGGTCCTGCACAAACATTGTCCATTAGGTGATATCATGTGCCATGGACAATGTATAGAAGTCATGTTTTCATAAATTTACTCACTGTTCAACAGTTATGCACTAAGGGCCTACTATGTAGTAGATAATGTGTATGTACAGATAATAAAGTCTGAGACAGGTAATCTAGGAGGGATAATAATTTGTGAGTAGAATTTGATTCACATTTTGAACATATTAATTTGAAGAGCCTGTGGGCAGAATCATAGCAAAGTCTAGTAGTTAATAAGAGATAGGAGCTTGGTGCTCAGAGAGAGAGTCTCATCTGGATATACAAATAGAGGTCTATTTACAAATGTGACGATGAAGAGATTGCAGATGGCCTTCAAGATACATGAGTTTGAATTGTGTGGACCCATTTACACCTGGATTTTTTTTTCCTGTTGCTATTGGGGTGAGCTCAAGTGGTGCACATACAAACATCTCACGTGGACATGAGTAGTGTCAGAAGTGATGTAAATAAACACTCACAACAAAGAACAGCAGGGGAAAATCTGTGGAGATGGATCTGTGGATCCATGCAGTTCAAATCTACGTTGTTCAAGGGTCAACTGTTCTCAGATAAAGTATGAAAAACGGTGGTGTCAAAGAGTCAGTGTGAATGGAAAGCTTGTCAGAGAAAGTTTCCTGGTTTCCACCCTAGAGATTCGGATTCAGGAATGAGGTGAGGTCTAAAAATTTACATTCCTAATCAGTCCTAGTGTGGCGCAGTAGGATAAGCACTGGACCACAGGTGGGTTTGAACCACAAGGTCAACATTTCAAACTCACCATGTGATATGAATTGGAACCAACTTGATGGCATTTAATGACTACAACAACAATGATAATCAGTTCCCAGGTGATGCTGATGCGGTTGTCTATGGATCATATAAGTGACACTAGTAGAGAAAAGGAGTTCTGGTACTATAGTGGTTACCAGTCGGGCTGCTAACCCCAAGGTCAGCAGTTCAAAACTGCCAGCTGTTCTGCAGGAGAAAGATGAGGCTTTCTGCTCCCGTAAACATTTATAACCTCAGAAACCCTGTACAAGGTCGCTATGAGTTGGAACTGACTCCACAGCACATGAGCACCACCACCACTACCACCAGTATAAAGAAAGGATTCTCTGAGATGATGGAAGAGGACGATCAATAGATGGATTTCAGTGTACAAGCTTATTTTTCAGTCAGGAGAGCAATCAATAACTTTTAGTAGATTTAAAAGAATCTGTGACTCAAATAAAAAACATTAAAAACAACTGGCTAAGACGAGGCTAAGGAAAAAACAATGATAGTTTCAGGGTTGTTGTTGTTGTTAAGTGCTGTCGAGTCAGTTCTGACTCATAGTGACCCTGTATAGGGTTTCCGAGGAGTAGCTAGCTGATGGGTATGAACTGCACTACACCAGGAGTCCGGTTTTAGGGCAGGTAGAGACAGCAAGTGGCACAATGACTAAGTACACAGCTGCAAACCAAAATGCCAGTGGTTTGAACCCATCAGCCATTCTCCAGGTGAAAGATGGGTCAATATGCTCCTATAAAGATTTATAGGTCGCTGCGATTGAAATTCACTCAAAAGTACCAGGTTTGAGTTTTATGTTTCGGGATTTTGTTTTGGTGTAGAGATAACAGAAGGGCCACTGGTGATGCAGTGGTTAAGCAATTAGTTACTAATGGAAAGTTCAGCACTTGGCAAGAGAAAGATGTGGCAGCTGGCTTCCATAAAGATAAGTGTGCAACTTTACAAAGTTTAAAACCTAAATTGCAAACTTTATGACTTTGGAAACCCTACGGGACAGTTCCTCTCTGATCTCTAAGGTCACTGTGAGTCAGAATGGCAAGGGTAGAGGCAACAGATCTTTGAAAAAGACTGGAACAAGAGTCAGAGAAAGGGGAGGATGAAAATTCAGAAAGAACAGTGTGTCAAGAAAGCCAAGTTACTTAGGAGAATTTTGAGAAGAGGTGATAAATAACAAAAGACAAGAAAAATAGAGCCCCCAAAGGCATCCACTCAATTTGGGAACTAGAGGGGAGATCTAAAATCTCACTTAGTCAAACCAGCCATGATTGGTAGTTGGGGTAACCAAGACTCAAAAAAGAGAAAGTTTCCAGAAGTCCCAAATTTCTATGATACCTTGTTATATTGTCTCTCTTGGGACCTTTTTGGCAGAAGCGTAACCGTTGCTGTTGGGAGGCAGGGGTGTAATGGAAATGATGTTTCAGAGTGCATGGAGGAAATGGGAAGGTAACGTATAGTAAGTAATCGAGTTAATGGACAGACTATTTGCACATTGGACCTCCAGAAATAAGAAGGAAAACTGTGGGACTATTCCAGCATTCCAGTGCTTATCTAAATATAACAAATTTGTTTCTTTAATGTTTATTTTAACTTCAATAGGGATTTGGAAATCAGGCTATAGTGTGATTTAATTCTGCTTTAGAGACAGTTGGCTCTGTGAATGAAACTCACTCATTCGTGAGTTAGTGATATCTGACTCATAGACCCAGAAATATTAGTCAAACTTGAGCAGCAATATAAAAACAACTTCATTGCTTTTTTTGTTTGTGTGTGTGGACAAGGGGTCTATATTTGCACCAGAAAGGTGATTAGAGCCCTAGACAGCACTGAGCCACTTGAGTTTGAGCAGTGAAGTTCTGATTTCCCAGGGTTGTCAAGAATGGACATGACCTTCTCCTAGTTCAAAACAACTTAAGAAAACTCTGGGTTAAAAAGAAGACGATTCACTCTGCTTGATCTGCAAGGCTGCTTCAAAATCACCCACATCTGCTGGGGAGGCCCTGGCAATCCCTTCATTGTAAATACACCCTGTGGAGCTCTGTGTTCTGACTAGACGTAATTCTGCTTAGCTAACAAAAGTTGATGGGATCAGCACCCTGTAGGGAATAACAGGAGCCAAGATTCAATTCAAGGAATTACAGATGCTCAGTTTATACAAAACAGCATCTATTTTCATTTTTAAATGTTAGGTGAAGCTTCTCACTCAAGTAAGCCTCTCATCCTCCCTCCCAGCCCTCACCCTCACCTTAATCTTCATGAGAATACCAGTATATTTGGTTTTGTTTTGTAACATTATTCTCAGAAGAACGATTTCTAATAGATTCCAAAATTATCATTACTGGTCTGAACTAGAGATTCCAGCACGGCATCTGAGATTCAGACTGAATCAGAAGTTTGGATGGATTCTTTGGGTAGACAAAATGGACAAACATAAAATATTGCCAAGCTCTCTGCTTCACATTAATATTGAAGAATTCAGGTGTTTACAAATCTTGTATCACGTACCTCTTCAAGTAAACAGAAATCTGTTTTTACTGTTCTCTGGGGGGGGAAGCGGGGCACTCAGTGACATTCTGAGCAACATCCCTGTGTTATCATAGTGACATGTTGAAATTCCTACACTCTGTCAGTTAGCGTGAGCATATCTAGAGAAGACATTTAAGGCTCTTTCATTTAAAAGGCTACATAACCACTAGATCAGTTCACTGACTTTTAAAGTCCCTGGATTGGGTTGGGTAATAAATGAGCTAAGGAATTAAGTATGCTTGAGAAAACAGCAAGAGAACTGTAGACAGCTTTCTGAATACATTTAAGAAACTGCACTCATCTGAAGCAAGGGATGCTCAGTGAGAAAAACCCTATTCCAGTTTTGAGATTTGGCTTATTCTTTTCCTACTTTATTGGTCCCTCTCAAGTTTTGCAAGGTACTTACCTAGATATTCACATATATGGGGGGTGGGGCATCAAAAAGTTCATAAAAAAATTCCATTACCTTCCAATTCCATTTCTCCATGAACTTTTTGAAGTCCCCTCATATAGATAGTGCACTTACCTTACCATTATACGACTTCAGCTGAGGGGATATGGAAGGTATTTATGTTCAGTAAAGCAAGACCTCCAAGTCCCTGCCACAAGGCTCTTCCTTGGTCATATATAGGCTGTGCCTGTTGAGGTTCTCCTTACCTGGGAGACTGTGATGCCACACTTCTTGGCTAACTCCTCTTTGGCTTCCTCACTGGGGTAAGGGTTGCTGAGATGGGAATAGAAATATTCATTCAGGATTTCCGTAGCTTGCTTGTTGAAGTTCCGTCTCTTCCGCCTTGGTAAAGAGAAAGAAAATAATAATGACAACCAAAAGAGTTTTACCAAATAAATGTAAAAAGGGAGAAAAAGACAAGTTTGGGGGGAGGGGCAAAAGGTAAATTAGAGGAGATCCAAAAATGGGGCTAGAATGTTTAAACCATTGTTACAAGCATTTGTTACATACACCAATGTGTAGCACCCAGGTACTGAACAGATGGATGTGCAGATATTACATCATGGTAAGGGTCTTGGCATTTGCACATTCAAGCAATCTTGGCTTTGCATCTTGGATCAACTGGGTGACTTTGGGCACCTCTCTCAGCATCAGCTACTGTAGTTGAAGATGAAGAGAGTCATTCTAACCTCACAGGGTTGGAACCCAGAGCATGGATAATGCTAGGACTTAGTAATGGCAGATTTTCTGACTACCAAGTGCTAGGTACTAGTTATTCAGTTGTCACAACTGGTGAAGTACATATGGTTATTTCCACTTATCGATAGAGAAGTGAGTTCAGAAGTCACTCACAGTTGGTACATTACAGAATCCAGTTACTCTTTCAGACTGGTCTGACTATCAAGAACCCATCCTGTTGCTTCTATAGAAATCATCTCTTGGCAATTACACAGAAACTCTGTAGCCCTAAGTTAAAAATAAGTTATCATTTGCTCCCCATTTTTCTCCCACTTAAATGCATGCAGAGGCAACATTTATTTTTTTAAAGGCATCTGGGTAAGAGAGCAGGAAGCTGACTGAAATTAACCCCTTGATTGCCTTACTTCCCTCACAAGGAGAGAAGTGGAACTTTTTTAAGTAATAAGAGCTGTCAAATGGTAAAACAAAAGCCCATAGATATATTTCTATTATATAGGTTGATGAAAAGGGAAAAAACATGTTTTTAAAGGCTTTTTTTTTTTTTTGGCATTAGAAAAAGTGCTAATTGAACTGCCTCCCCACAGCTAACGCCTGTGGATATCTGGGGGACTTGCATAGGGGTTCCAGACTCTCTGCAGATGTTGGTGGTCCCTCCATGAGATCATGGGCTGCCATCTTTAAATTAGCTCAATTAGCACATTTCCTTTTCTTGCTTTTATCAAAAGTGGTTCAGTATGGATGTGAACAATTTCCAGAACATCCCTGGTTTGGCCAGGATACAGAATTTTCCAATTTAGCCACCAGAACGCACTGATCGCCTTGCTAGACAGGAAATTCAGCTAATATTGTATTTCCAGGGTCCCACTTGGATTAATTAGCACAATAAAGTGCCTGATTTTACCGGATGAACACCATCTGTCCACAGGTATTAACCACATCTGTCCAAATAATGCCAAGTCCAAGTCACTTTCCCAAATCACACTGAGATTCTGGGTCATCCAGCATCAGAAATAAGATAAATTGGATTAAAAAGTCCAACTAAAAAGTCGGCATGTGCTCTTAAACGATGCGAATATGAGGAAGAGGGCCAAGTGGCTAAATTTGGTCACCAGGCTAATCTTTAAATACCTTTAGCTGCTGTTTCTTTGCCAGAAGGAGACAGTTGTTTTAGGCCTAGGGAACTAGACTCTGAAGGCTCCCCTAATTGGGACAGCATCAGTTCAAGTTCATTCATTCAGTTGTTTGCATTAGCATTACACTGTATTTTTTGGGACTCTTCCAATTGAGCTCAAAGGAAGCCTCTCTGGAATGAGCTGGTGGTGTGGGGATGGTGCAGACAGCTGTTCCTGGCCCTCTTCTTGGTTTGCTGTGCAATCTTCCCTAGGTGGTCTCATCTACTTTAATGGACTCACTTATCACCTCATTCAGTGGCTGCCCCAGCCTAGGGCCTCTGAAATGCTAGTATCAGGATTTTGGGAAGCCTAGTGGAAACAACACACTTCTGATAATAAGACTTCCAGAGCTAAGAAAGGCACCTGATTTATTTACTTTGCTCAAAGTGTTATCGGCTTAGCGCAATATATTGGTGATTTTGCCCAATCAGAAGCTTTGATGTTCAGAATCTAGGTCTTTAAGAAATGAAGAAGTTCACTGATTGTTATTGGATAAATGCAATGCTCAGGGACAGCATCCACAAAAGCCTTTCAAATTGCACAGGGAAAATTCCATATGACACTTTTGATGGTGAAAAGCACAGGCACGTGGACATCTCCTGTTAACTCCAAATGTGTAGTCTCCAGCCCTAATTCCACTCCTACGAACCTCTATCCCATTTTCTACTGGATACTCCAGGCACCTTCCAACAAACTGACTCCAAGCCATTCATTCAAAACACTGCCACCTTATCATTACATGTGCTACGTGATCATACCACCATAGATAATGTCCTTGGTATCTATTAACTTGATTTTTCATTTATTCATTCTAATACTGAGTACTTTGCTGTGCCTTATTCAATCTGTATGCTGAACAAATAATCCAAGAAGATGCAATATAAGAAAAAGAACGTGCATCAGGATTGGGAGGAAGAGTTGTTAACAACCTGCAATTTGCAGATGATACAACCTTGCTTGCTGAAGGCAAAGAGGATTTGAAATATTTTCTGATGAAGATTAAAAGCTATAGTCTTCAATATGGCTTGCATCTCAATGTAAATAAGACAAAGATTCTCATACCTGGACAAATAAATATCATCATGCTAAATGGAGTCCTGGTGTGGCATTGTAGGATAAACACTGGGCCACAGGGTTGGTTTGAACTATAACGTCAGTGGTTCAAATTGACCAGCCATTCCTCAGAAACCCTATAGAGAGTTGCTATGAGTCAGAACCAACTCAACAGTTGGTTAACAACAACTTAACAACAACAAATGGAGAAATGACTGAAGTCATCAAAGACTTCATTTTGCTGGAATCCACTATCAACATTCATGATCACAGCAGTCTTAGAAATCAAGCAATGCATTGCATTAGACAAATCTGCTGTGAAAGACTTAGTTAAAGTGGTCAAGAACAAATACCATGGCCTGATCCAAGTCATGGTATTTTCAGTCGCATCGTATGCATGTGAAAGTTGGACAATGAATAACAAAGACCATAGAAGAATGGTTGCATTTAGTTATGGTGTTGGAGAAGAATATTGAAAGTACCAGGGTCTGCCAGAAAAACAAATCTGTGCTGAAAGAAGTACAGTCAGAATGTTCCTTTAGAAGCCAGGATGGCAAGACTTTGCACTTCATACTTTTATCAGGAGGGACCATTCCCTAGAGAAGGACATCATGCTTGGTAGAGTGGAGGGTCAATGAAAAAGAGGAAAACCCTCCCAATGAGATGAATTAGCACAGTGGCAGCAACAATGGGCTTAAAAGTCACAATAATTGTGTGGATGACATAAGACCAGGCAGTGTTTCATTCTGTGGTGCGTAGGGTTGCTGAGTCGGAATCAAAGTGATGCACCTTATAGCAGCAGCAGCTTGTTCCTGAACCTAGGCGGGAACCTCAATAACTCCTGTCCTCTTGCCTTTACCTAGTGGGTGCCCCCCAAGTAAGTCCTGACAGTTCTATTCTTTCAAATAGGCTCCTTTTATTCCATCTTGATTTTTGAAATGGGTTTAGATGAGCCACTAGCTAAGTGGTCCAGGCTAATGTTGTCCAATAGTACTTTCTGCCATGATTGCTGTTGTTGTTAAGTGCCGTTGAGTTGATTCCGACCCATAGTGACCTTATATAGGGTATCTGAGGAGCAGCTGGTGAGCTTGAACTGCCGACCTTACAGTTCAATGCAGTTCAAACAGTTTTGCAGTCTGGTGCATTAAACCAGCGCCACACCAGGAGTCCTTTGATCGAGGTGTCCTAATCCGTGCTGTCCAATATAGTTGCCATGAATGACATGTAGCCATTGAGCAGATGAAAACTGACTAGTGTAGTTGAGGACTTCAATTTTAAAATTTTATTTAATTTACCCTAATATGCAGGTAGAATGAACAAATCTGTCTTGAAAGTAGTACAATCAGAATGCTCCTTAGAAGCAAGAATGGTGAGAGCTCACCTCACTTACTTTGGCCACGTCATCAGAAGGGACCAGTCCCCGAAAAAAGACATCATGCTTGGGAAAGTAGATGGACAGCAGAAAACAGAAAGGCTTTAAAGGAGAGAGACTTGTTGCAGACCGTGTAAAACTGGTGAGAAGTTCGAGGCCCACTGGGCCCGAGTGTTGTCGACTATACAGGCCACAGGCTCTGAGGAAAAAATTCTGGCCACTGGCAGTCATAACAAATTGTTTTTCATCTTAGTGTTCAGTTATGTTTTTTATTTAATTCCAAACATGAGCCCTTAATGTCCACAGATTGTTGTTGTTGTTGTTGTTAAG